AGTCCCGGAGGATGGAGGACCTCATTTCCTGACTTGGGTTCAGGGTTTTGAGTTTGGGGTCTTAGGTTTAGGGTTTAGGGTTTAAGGTTTAGGGTTTAGGAATTTAGGGTTTAGGAGTTTAGGGTTTTAGGAGTTTAGGGTTTAGGGGTTTAGGGTTTAGGGTTTAGGGTTTAGGTAGACTTCGAAACTCATAACAAAAACCCTTAAATCAATTGCAAGGAACATACCAAAGAGTTCTAGGGATCCGTAATTTTTTTGGAAGGGCTTCGGAGTCTCCGGGCAGTTTGAAGCAGGAGAACCTCGGAAAGGAAACGACAATTCCTTATAAAAGCCTTCTGAAACTTCGTGGAACCCGAAAGAAACGTTACACATCCTGAATAAAACCTTAGGAGACTCCACACAAGGCCCCTTCCCAACCTTATACGCAATTTGGCAGATGCCCTATTAACCGCTCTAAACCCTAAACCCTAAACCCTAAACCCCTAAACCCTAAACCCTAAACCCTAAACCCTAAACCCTAAACCCTAAACCGCTACTCCCCCAGCGAGTCGACAGCCTGTTCCTGGCGCCCCTTTGGAGAAGGAGGTGCGCAGGTGGCCTGCCAGGAGACCAAACTGACGAATCCAAACCACCTCTAGATCATTTTAGGGTTTAGGGTTTAGGGTTATATAAACCCTATGAAACCCTGAGATGGAGGTTAGGACCCCGAGAATTTTCGGTTGGATGAACCCTAAACCCTAAAAGAAGTCAGCTCAACACCGCGGCTCTACGGGGTGCCGGGTTCAAGGATGTTCGGGTACCCAGATACTCCTCCCGAGCACTTAACCGAGCAAGCATCGGAGGTTTTATGTGTTTGTATAGGATGTGAGGTCTGGATACGGTGTAACTGAGCGGTCTATTTCAAATTAAGGAGGGAGTTTGGCTTTGGCTTAAAATAAAAGATGCTAAAACCGTGATAAAAGCTCGTCGTTGGTATTGTCTAGGCATCATCTGCCGGTTTTGGAATCAGAGCTGAAAGGAAGTTTATGATTGGCGGGAAAAGCAACTGCCGGAATATCATGTTTCGAACCCCCTCCCCCCCGTTCCTCTGCACTGCAGTTATCGAAATCGCAGGCATTTAGCCGCGCCAGAAAAACGTTGTAACTATCAAGTGCCTAACCAAATCGTTTGAACACACACATGTGTGTGTATGTATATGCATACATGCATACAGATATATGATTTAGATAAAGATATAGGTCGTACTCCACCTTGAAATCTTGGAGCCTAAACCCCGAAAACCCCTGAAACCAAAGCACCTCAAAACCCTAAATCCTAAACCCTAAACCCTACTCAGACTCATCATTTCAACCAAAGGCATAATTAGTCCTTACGACATTTTGAAGAAACCTCGTAGGAGCCCATTCATGGACCCCCAAAGCGTATAAACCTTAAAGCCCTAAAGCTCCAGCCCTAAACCCTATAGATCCCGAAATGGGACCCCATAAAGCCTAAACCTTCAACCCTAAACCCTAAACCCCGAAGTGGGGGACCCCCGAAAGCCTGAATGATGATCCCCATGCCCTAAATCTGAAGTATAGGGCATCCCCGCAATAATCATCCGAAGTCCATGTTCCAACTCTCTGGGACTCGCTATAAGTCCTAATCCTTCAACCCTAAACCCTGAAGCCTAAATGGGACCCCCCCCCCCCCTATGGTTTAGGGTTCAGGGTTTAGGGTTCAGGGTTTAGGATTTAGGGTGTAGGGTTTAGGGTATAGCAGGAGCCCTGGGTCTGTGAAACCGAGCTGTGCCTGGCCACGCAAGCGGAGCTCCCGCAGGCGGTTGAGCCAGATGCCCTCCTCTGCCACCTTCGAGACGTCATGCGATATTACATCGTATACTGCTGTATCACATAGCATGGTCTAGGGTTTAGGGTTTAGGGTTTAGGGTTTATGTAATATATAACATAACACCGTATGATGTAATACAACATAGTAGGTTTAAGTATGACTTACAGGATGCCCTTCTCCGCCACCTTCGTGGCTCGCAAATCCCGAGATAGAGTTTTGCGTTCTTATAGGACTCCCCCACCTGAAGGAGGCTTTGCAGGAGTTTACCGGGGGCCTTACCAGGTAAAGGGTTTGGGTTTAGGGTTTAGGGTTTAGGGTTTAGGGTTTAGGGTTTAGGGTTTAGGGTTTAGGGTTTTGCCCTGTTTTGTTATTTCTTGCCACTACCGCCCTGTGTCAGGATTGGGTAATTTGTGCG